TTCTATTTTCTAAATGGAACCATCAATAAATGTAGTGAATAAGTATTTATGTTGTTTTCTACAATGTACTTATCTATTAACTAATCAAGCTCAATATTTAAAAATGAAATGGAAATGATATCATAGCAATCATGTTATTCCTATCCAGGGATCAAATCAATATGCAAAATAAAACTAATGTCTATAATACCGTCTGCTGGGGTGTGAACTTGATCCGTCTCTTCACTGATACCTGAAAGTGTGGGTGTTTTTTTCTCACGTGTTGATACTCAAATCTTGAAGTACAGCCAACTATGTAAACCTCGATGACAGACAGAATTGTATAAATAGAATTTAAACTATTCTGCTAATGTCACATATCGATAGTAGAATTAAAACAGCTACGAAACTCTAGAGAATATCTTTATATACCTTGAAGTACGATAGAATGTGGGGTACTCACATTTTCTCATCGGGTTCACAAAATATTAGTCAAAGTAACTGCGTTGTGTTCCATATTTTAATTGCACAGGGATCTTGCTAACAACTTTTCTGATGATTTTCAGTATTTTTGCTTGTCAATAAATATTTAAAGCTAACAAATACAGTCTCATCCTTCTGTAAATATCTCGATGCTTCTTGGTAATTCCTTCTAATTTCTTTTCGATATTTCTTTATACTTCTCAGGATTTCTGTATTTCAGAAGTTGAGAAATATGCTTTTTCCATTCTTGGGAAGAAGTGAATAGCTATAATAGAATATCATTAATAAATTTGAATTATATATTTCAAAAAGTTCAGGATTCATTTTAATTTTATTTTCCTATTTTTGCAATACACAAAATTGAACAGACAGAAAAAGGTAGATGTTAAAGAGTAACATCTAAGTGATGAATCAAAATTTATTGTATACAACTTATAGCGTCGTAAAGAAGGAAACTTACGAGATCAAACATCATATGAGAGCATTTTTAACCTCATATTCTACCACTATTATTCTGAGAATAATTTTCAAGAAAATACCATTAAAGTATGAAATTTCAAGTTCAAATATGAAATCAAAACAAACTTATCATTAACTTGTGAAGGTTAAATTAAATTGATAAAGAAAACCTTCATTTGACTTATTGTTTCAATACTCAATTACATTTAGCAAAAGTTTGTGTGATTTGTTATATGAAATATGAATGATAATTAAAGAAAAAGATTTCTTGTTTGCTATGTCTATATGTAAAGATCTAGTTATAATTACTACATTATCCATAAAGTAATATATATATATAGCTAAGAGTTCATCAAAATGAGAACAGTTTTGTTTTCACTTGAATCATTAGTTCAGAATAAGCAGCATGGGTCTCGGTGTGACGGGATGGAGGAGGAGAAGCTATCATCCCAGGGTGTCGATGTGTGTGGGGTGTGATGTGGATGGTAGTCTTCCTTTCGTACACTCCCACACCTATATCCACATCCACGCCCACACCCTCAATAACAGAGACTCCTATCATAGAGCAAAAATAACAGGCATAACTATGTTATGTTTTCAAAAACGAATACTTATGTTGTTATGAAACAATGACATCGTCACTAGCACAATTATATTACCAATGAATTACCTTATTATTTTGTTGAAGAACGAAATAATTTACTTATTTTCTTCGAATTTCTTTTTGTTTGCATATATTTGCATAGACAAAGGAATACGAGTTGTTATCGTATGATGATGGTAACGATTGCATCGCTCAAATACTGTCGTTGTCGAGAATTTCAGGTTTTGGTTGAAAGGAAACGCAAGAACGACATGAATTTCTTGCCAAAACAGTCATTTCTTCCACGTAAGTTAAGTTAGCACCACATTCGAGTATTTCTTGTCCCGATTCGCTTTCTTACCTGTGTTAACTCTCTAAGTGCTTGCGTTGGGTACAGAATTTAATGCTCTATCGAATGGTACCACTTTCAAGGGGGGGTCATCGGGCAAAAACCACTACTTTTACCCGAAATACTGACTTTTTTCCAATGTACCAATAACAAATATCGTGTATTTCTTGTCCGGATTCGCTCTATGGCTTGTGTTAACTTTCTAACCTAGTGTGTTAGATGCAGAATTTAATTCTCTATCGAATGGTACTATTTTCAAAGGGTGTGGGTGTGTCTTCTCTTAATCAACATCCACATACCATACACTCACACCCCACACCTACACCCACACCCAAACCCACACACACCCACACGATAACCCACACCCACGCCCACCACACCCTAATCATAAGAAATTATTAAAATTTATTAAAAAATTTAAAGTTTTATTACATAAATTAGAAAGAATTAATGAAAAAAATTTACAATATAATTTTCTTTATTCAATTCTTTTATCGAATGTTGAGAATATTAACTCCTGATCACAGTCCACTAGTTTTTTCTCTCTTAATAGTACAATCATGAGACTTGAGAGTGAATATTATACTTTGGGAAGAGATTTACAATCATGGTATTTGCAAAATATGTCTTGTTCTTTTTAAAATGGTCTATTCTTATTGTTTAGTCCAGCAACAATCAAACTTCTATTTTTTTTTTTTATTTAAAAATAAAAGAAATGTTCGTTTTAAGCAGAATCTATTTATCTATACAACTTATACTGTAATGAAAAGTCTTTAAAAGAATTTTTTTTGTAATTTTGGATAAATGTTAATAACTAGCAAGAACCCGTGCATACTGCACGACTGTTTCCTCCTTTAACGTATGATCTTAGACGTTTAACTTATCATCCGGTAACAGACATACAGACATCCGATATTATGTATACACATAGATAGCCCTACGGCCTGATACTCTTATATCGCACAGATTTCTATAGTCCAGGTAGTCTTCAGCCTTATATTCCTTGTAGCCTTATCTCCTTATTGCTTTACCCCCTATTACCTACCCCCTTACTGCCTTACTCCCTTGAGGACCTATGCATATCCCCATATAATAGCCGTTGAGGATCTATGGATATCCCCATATAATAGCCCTTAACAACCTATGGATACCCCCATATAAGAGCCCTCGAGGACCTATGGCTATCCCATATAATAGCCCATGAGGATCTATGGGTACCCCAATATAGTAGCCCTAGGCGCCCTCCCCTTATACCCTTATTTGACCTTTGACCCGGCACAGACAGACACGCAGACACTGAACATTATATATATAGATTATCTTTGAACAGATATTCGAGAATTCCAATCATCATTTGAAATAATCAATGTTTTAATTTAAAAAAAAACTTCTTGGTCGAATGATTTATCTAGATTTAAAATATGATTTCATCATTTGCATTTAATCAACAACGATATGAACATATTTAAAGCGAATCTATTAATAATAAATAAGAACAAAAAAAATTGTCAATTTTATATTTGACTGATCTTATAACTCATTTGTCTAACATATCATAACAAAAACAGAGAAAAAGAATCTAAAAGTCATTTAGAAATTTAATCAGTATCAAATTCTTGAAATTCGCACATATATGTATATGTATATGTATAACAATAAGACAAAAAAGTATTTAGAAAATCCATGAAAATGATACATAAACATCAAAGCTGTCAGCCAGGCAACTAGATCAAGCGGAATTTTGAAATTTTGATCTGATCTTACTCTTCAATACAATGATTGACCTGACCTAACCTAGTTGTGAGGTGCTATCAATTTTTCTATTAATGAACTTCTAGTATTTGATGATAATTAACGAATTGGTATATGAAATTTCGTCTTTTTTATATTGGTTGATAGCTTTTGAGGATAAAATCGTGAAGTAAAAGAAAGAAACCAATAATTATGCTTAATTTATTCAATAGAAGTTAAAAAGACTATTGTTCAATTGGAAGACAAATCTTTTCTTTTCTCAAATTTTTTTCTACTCAACAATCTATGTTAAGTAATATTTATTGATAGTTGTTGTAAAATATCAACTTATTCTATTTCAATCATTTCAACATTATTAGATGTAAATGTTTTCTTATCTGCTTCCGCATTAAAATCATTTTCATATTCTACTAAACTCAGGCATCGTTTTTTTCTAAAATACAAAAAAATCAATAGGATATTATCGACAATAATTCATTATTGAATATTACCTGAAATTAGTTTATAATCTAATTTTTGTTTGAGTTCAACGAAATAGATAGTTTTTAAGGATGTGCCGAAAGGAAAAAAGTGGGAGCGGAGGTGTCCTAGTATGTATATAAAAGTTAATGTCATCTTTACTTAACAAGAAACAGCTATTTACATTTTCCTATTTTTTCGTAAAAAAGTGATAATCGGGGGAGAGGTAAGAGTCGCGAAGATCTGGTACTTGCCCTCAGGACACTATGATTGTTCAAACAAATAGGAATGATAGGCTAAATCCGACTCCAGTCTAGAGCATAAATGCGATTCATCCATTGCTTTTCAAATGTGGAAGCGTTCGAACTCCTTCTGTTCCCCCCTCCCCCCCCTCTCATAGGCATATCCTCGATAGTTTTGAGAGAACTTCACACATTTGTTAATCTATAGAATATAAAAAACTTGGAAAATCAGAATCACTAATCTGCTTGGTATTGCCTGACGGCCAAGCCAGCTCAGGTGGCACACAATCTTTCTTCTTTTTTCGTTTGTTGGTAGCTCTGATAAAACATACATTCATTAGATATCAATAATGATCTCGATATGAAATCTTTGCCTTTTATTATAAAGTATATCTGCATGTTTGAATAAGTATTTTTTTTTAATTTATATTGTGTTGACTCTCTCATAAGCATATGTAATGATACGTTTATAGACAAAATTATTCGCTATCAATGTGATTTGTTTAACTAACACTGCACATGTATTTCTGGATAATGAACGTTTCTAAAATTACATTTTATATATGTTAAATTATTCAACATACTCTGAAAATTTCAGTTTTGAAGACTTTTAGTTGAACAAAAATATCACTAGGAAAACTAGCACTAGTGGTATGATCTAAAAAGATCATTGCTTTTCTACTTTACACATTTTATTTAAAAATAACTGTCAAATACAGATAGCATTTTTTGAAAGCTAAATGATAACTCCTTTAAATCATTTATGAGATTGTAGAATCTTTCTTAAGAGTTTTTCAAAAAAATCAATTTGTTTTCCATTACCAATCTGCTGAAATACGAATATATAAACTAAGAAATAAATAGTCTCATAGTTAAATATGAAATTCTAAATTAACTTTATCTTTTCGAGTGCATTGAATAACTTTTAGATTCATTTTCTCAAATGATTAGAGAATTCTTTTTTAATTAATTAATTTTAATTAATTGTCAACTGAACTCTACAAATTCTCATATCCACTATAAAATAAATAAATGAATAGTGTATTTCTTTTCATCATATGACATTTTTAGATAAATGAAAAAAAGAAATAAAAATATTCATTCACTCATTCTTTCAATTCGTTATCAATTTTGACGATAGAAAAATTGTGTTATTGTGTGTATTGACGACATCGGCCAAATAGAACAGATGAGTGTAGACATATAAATATTGACTTTTCATAAGTTGAAAAAAAAAGATAAGTGAAAGTAAACATGATCAACTCTTGTATTGGATTAAATGATTTACCTGATGAAATTCTTATGATTATTTTCAAAAAACTCAATAATATTGATATACTTTATTCTTTCTACGGTGCCAATCAGCGACTAAATAAAATTATTCACGATCCAACTTTTACAAGTTGTTTGACTTTTGTCGAATGGTCATTAGATAATTTTATTGATTTATTATCTTGTAAAACGATACTTAATCAATTTTGTTTTCGAATTTTACCTGAAATTCATAATAAAATCAAATGGCTTGGTCTTGAATCATCATCTATGAAACATGTTTTACGTGCTGCTCATTATCCGAATTTAGATAGTCTTGGCCTTTATAATATTGATGAAGAATCAATTCGATGTCTTTTTACTGGTAAGTAATTTTGAATTGTATTCTTTCTATTTTAAACAAGTCAAAGATTTGTCAAAATTATTCCCATAGATAACTATATTGTTTGAATATATATATATATATATATATTGTCTTTATAGACTCTTTCTTATTATATACAATATATTTAGATGAAACTCTTTCATCTGGTATTTTCAAAAATCAAATTACAACACTTGTAATTACAATAAATAGAAATGATGATTATTTCGAAATGCTATCATCGGTGGTTAATATATATGATTACATCTTCAGTGTTTTTACCCATCTGATTGTTGTCGCGTTATATGAATCATCATATAAAGATTGTGTTCGATTATGTTTTAACGATTCATTACATCCTAATATTCGTTCTTCAACTCTTTTGAAATTGAATATCAAAGTACAATGTTTTAATGATTGTCTTTATCTTCTTGATGGTCGTTTTAATCAACTTCATACATTCTATGTTGATTTGGTTCGTATTCGTATTCCACAGGAAGTGGAAAATCAAGTTAGTTTTACAATAAAAATCTCTATGTTCTCAAATAGCAAAAGAATGTTTGTTTTTCAGGGCGATTTACCAAATCTAAAGTGTTTTTCTTTGTCTTCTAATTATGAAATATATGATTATGATGAATTAGTTCTACCACTTCTCAATCGAATGTCAAATCTAGAACAACTTGGTTTGTATCTTCTTGTTTATGTCAATGAAACATTTATTGATGGAAACCATTTGAAAAAAAAGATTATTAATGGTATGCCAAGATTAAATCAATTCACATTTTATATTCGGTCATCTATGTATACTGGGAGTAAATTCAATTTGCCATCAACAGAAGATATTCAACGCACATTTATTGACTTTCGAAATAATAAAATTATTTCTTATATTAATTATTTTCTAGAGGCAAAAGAAAGTCAATGTCATATATATTCATATCCACCTCTAATGGAATATTACGGTGATATTACAAATGATTTTCCAGGTGGATTATTCGAATATGTTCGTGTAGTGTCATTAAATGATGAACATCCTTTTGAACATGAATTTTTTCTTCGAATTCAGAAATCATTTCCATTTATGGAACAATTAACTGTGATTAATCATAAACCACAAAACAGAAAACAATCTTATGAATCAAATATTGATAATCAAAACTTATCTGTTATTGAATATTTTTTTCTCAATACACTTGATATTATCAATACCCATGATGATTATATAGAAGAATTTCTATTTGATACTAAAACGTATTTTCAAAATAATGTTTATCTTCAAATCCATTATGAATCTTTAAAACGAGTAACACACAATTTTACAAGAGATGCTACACGAGTTAATAGTACCAAAATCAATAAATTATATGTATATGGTGGATCAAAATGTTCGAATTCTTTACAAGAATATTTTCCTTATGCGAAAATATTTCATTGAGGAATATTTTGAAAGATGGACAAATAAAAATATTCAAATAAAGAAGAATAGAAAACAATAAGAGAAAATTGTCTTGTATATTGTTGTAGGAAAAGAAAATCTCTAGAAAGATGAAAATGATTATGTGTAATAAGTAGTACTCTGTGAAATAGATTAATTTTGTTTAAATAAATATCTGTATACGTAAGTTAAGTTAGCACCAGATTCGAGTATTTCTTGTCCCGATTCGCTTTCTTACCTGTGTTAACTCTCTAAGTGCTTGTGTTGGGTGCAGAATTTAATGCTCTATCGAATGGTACCACTCTCAAGGGGGGGGGGGGTCATCGGGCAAAAACCACTACTTTTACCAGAAATACTGACTTTTCTCCTGTGTACCAGTAACAAATATCGTGTATTTCTGGTCCGGATTCGCTCTATGACTTGTTTTAACTTTTTAACCTAGTGTGTTAGATGCAGAATATAATTCTCTATCGAATGGTACTATTTTCAAAGGGTGTGGGTGTGGGCATGTCTTCTCTTAATCAACATCTACACACCCCACACCCACATCCACACCCCACATCTACACACCATACACTCACACCCCACACCCCACACCCACACCCCACACCCACACCCACACCCCACACCCACACCCACACCCCACACCCACACCCTTAAAAACATTTATATACCAAAATGTAGCACTTCTTCTTGTCTTTCCATTTATATGGATTCAATTTTTTTTTCGAAGCTATATAGAGACAATAATTCAATTTATAAAATCGTCCAACGAAAGTTGAGTCATTCAAGTTGTTATACGTCTAGTTTCACTATAGCTCAACCTGGAGGGCTGAAATTTTCTGTGGGTATAGTATAGACGATGCCTGTAATTTTGACATAAGTCGTGTCTCAAAAGACCATATTATGAGGGAGTTACACTCAAAACAAAATCGTCCAAAAAATATTGTCCACGATTGTAGATTAGGTTTTTTTTGCTGAAATATCACTAACTAACTTATTTTCTATATATTTTTTTGTTAAAGTCGATAAGGACACAGAAAGAGAATTGTATCAATGCGTTCGCTATAATTTAAGACATTTTTTATGCTTCTTACTCCAAATGATTTCACACCTATATAAATTGCGTAAATTTTACTAAGAGGGTAATCTAACTGAGATCAGTTCGAAAAGCTCCGAACTAAACTGTCTCCATCTCTGGTTTGAACTTTATCCAAACATAGATTTACTTCATCATTCATTGATGTAGGTGATTTTCTTTCTTTTCAAATTTGTATACACTTGATCTGTATTTGATCATTATTGAGTAAACAACCATCCATGTTTGGATGGTTTCTGTCTTCGCTATAATTTCTATGAAATGTCTTTTCAATTTGAAACATTTTTCTAATCCGATATCAACTTTCTTAAGAAGTAACTGTCGCTCTATTTGATGTTCTTCTGCTTGACTAATTATTATGCATTTATTATTATAACTCTTCTTCGAACGACTGTTGGCAATATATTTACAATTTCGTCGAAGTTGAATGCGATATTCATCGTCAGTTTCTCTAGCAACTGTTTTAGCCATGCATCTATGACTAGTTTTCGGACGGCATTCTCTTTGCTCAATCGTTTCATATCATCTTTTTTCTTTTTAGATCGAGGCGTAATCAATTTTGTTTTTGTTCCATTATTTCATTTCGTCTTGATCATCTAGAATAGTCTTGTTGTTTATTCTGAATATTTGAAGCGTCAAGCTTCTTTTCAGTATTCATCATAAAATTGTCATAATTTTCAAGAACAGTAAACCAATATCAATATATTTTATTTAATATATTTTACTATATTTTTATTATTCTCATTTTCCCGCTTGGCAGACGCATACACAAATTTTACATATTTTAAATTAATTTTCTTCGTAAGACTCTTCTGTTCCATAAAAGAGAACAAAAAAAACAAACGAAAAGAAAAACCAAAGGAAAAAAGAAGAAAACTAATCGAAAGGACAAAAAAATAATCTATTTGATCGAAAAGGATGTTTTCGGAAATAGGGCTAAGGAGATGAATACCCAAATGACCGTTCTCGTCTGCAAATTGAATATTGGTCCTCTCAATCCATTAACTAGATTTTACATTTTATTTTACTTGCTATCTTTAGCCATTGACTGAGCTTTGATCCGAAGACGGATCATTAGATGAATCAACAAAAATAAAAAAAAGAATTGTATTGTATTTATTTTTCAGATGATATTTGGGCTTGAATCTATCAAAACTGCAATCTTATCAGTTTTTCGAATAGCTTTTGCCACAGCGGGCACAAAAAAATAAATTATATCATATACTTTTACTACATGCTGCGCGACTTTAATTCTTTTTGTTTGTTAGCTTATTCGTTTTGCTTATGTGAAGGATTATGACTTTTTGTGCTCCAAGAAAAACTTGATTTTGATGATTTTTGATTTAACTGAGGAAGAAGATGATTTTGTCTAAATAAAAAAAAAGGAATGCCTCTAGAGACGATTAATTTCTTGTGAGTATATTTTTTCTAATATCAACTTAGCTCATAATTCTAGATGAATGTAATGTTATATGTTACCAAAAATGGATATCATAAGATAAATAGTTCGTTGATTCTTTTTGACTTAACTTAATGAGAAAATGTGGAAGTATTGCACTATGTCAAAAAGCAAGATCGCTTCAAAATCACACGCGTTTTGAATGCAACAGATTTCAGCGGAAACAACTCGTCAAACAGTTGAGGCAGCGAGACATAAGCCTCGCAAAATTCAAAATTATTCTGGAATAAAACTAAAAGATACTGCTGTGCTACCGACTCCTCATTGTGTGCTCTTCTTATTTCAACAGATGAAGCAATCAAAGATCCTCAAAACATGACTGATTTAGCCGCTGACCTCAACGAGCGTGTTTGAAGAATCTGTGATTGTTCGCCCTCATCCGTACGTTGACTCGCACTTGATTCTGTGCGATAATGCATATGATTCAGCTTTGGAAGTGATCTACCCAGAAATTATTGAATCATTGGTAACAAGAAAGAAAAAACGGTCATGCGACATTCACGATCTGTCATCGTTTATGCTGGAACACATGCCTTGTTACCACTCGCAAATTATGGTGTGAACTCTACCTTAGCAAATACATATATCCACACCCAACATCCTACCATGACTATGCGTATTTTCGTCGCTCATATTCTCATATTTTGGAAACAGACACAACTCAAGTTTTCGAAATGTTAAGCGTGATCATGATGCACAGCATACTCAGCACTTTTTCATTAGTACAGTGAGAGAAAAGAAATAAATAGAGAAAAAGTTCCATAGCAGCAGAATATAAAGAAAATGTATGGAGAATGACAAAAAAAAGGCAAGGAAAAAAAGAAAACAGCGCTGTTGCTTCACTACTCATTCCTTCTTTTGACTTGAAGGGAATGAAAAAAACTAATTGTTAGTTAGTTGATTGTTTATTTGTCAAGACACGCACATGTTTTTCAGTCTATCTATTGCCATACGGGCCACTCATCTTACCGGTAAAAATTGATCATATTTTAGTTTGTTTGACATTGTCTAATTACTTCAAATATATGCAGAATATTTGAAAATTTCTGAATTATTTTCATTCAAAAAAACAACAATCAAGCCTATAATAAAAAGCCATATTGACCTTAAGTTGTAAACCATAATTAGTCGTGTCTCTTTCTTGTTTCTGTTTCCAAGAACTAGAAATGCATATGTTCCTAAGTTTCAGGAAACTCGAAAATAGGTGTATTAATTTATCTTTACTTTATGACATAAAGAAAAGTAAAATCTTTATGATTATAAAATAAAGATAAACAAAAAGCTCTAGAAATGTTTTTTTTTCTGTAATTACCACATAGACAATTACTTAGTATAACAATAGGATATGTTAATCAACGTTCTTTCTGATCACCAATAACACTTCAATGTGTGATGTTGTTCTTAAATAAAGATGATGTATGCAAAAAACTTGGTCTATTTATTTATTTTTTTTTGAGTCTATGATTCCATAATATTGTGTGAGCTACTTGAAGGAAAAAAGAATTAGTATTTGTAAAAGAAATCTTTCTTTATTATTTTATTTATCTTTATTTTTAAAAGTAAAGATTTTAATTTATATTTGTTTAATCAACATCAAAGGTATGAATGTGAATGTGAGTGCTTCATTGTCGCATCCACCACACCCATACTCGACATACCCTTATGCGTGATACACAGCGAAATCATTTGACCGTAATTTCACTTTCTAGAAAATATTGAGCACAGAAAGGTTTGGGAAAAGAAATCATGTTTATCTACGTATCTTTCATGTCCTTTTTCCAGACCTTCTTACTCATCAATTAAATATCAATAACATAGAATTTTCACCATGTGCATTAACCGATCAATAGAAAATTATAATTTCTTTATTTTTTTTTCTGTTCTTATCTGCCTGTAGTAGCTGATTGAAATGGGAAACTGTTCTACAGCATCATCAGTGGAGTTGCCATCGCCTGAGTCACAACAGAGTCAAACTGGAAATGAAAATGAAAATGAAAATGAAATAAATATGTATCTGAAATGTGCCAAACAAGAATTCGATGCTAAATATGCACAACCGTCGAAACAAATGGTCAAGTTAGAAGACTTTGAATTGGAACGAACCATTGGTATGGGAATGTTTAGTCGTGTCATGTTAGCGAAGTATGAAAATAAATTATTGGCATTAAAGATCATAGAAAAACATGCCATTGTCGAATATGCACAAGTCGAATGTATTCTATCCGAAAAACGTATTTTACAAGCAATCAATTTTCCATTTATTGTCAGTTTAGTCTATTCATTTAAAGATAATTCTCATCTATATTTGGCACTGGAATTTGCCAGCGGTGGTGAAATGTTTGTTCATTTTAAGTGAGTCTTTCAATCTGTCATCGATGAAAATGAGAAAAATAAATTGAAGCTCAAATTATTTTCATCATTTATTCATGTAGTCATGTGAAAAAATTTTCGGAAGATCAAGTACGATTTTATGTTGCACAAATTGTGCTTATCTTGGAATATTTACACTATTTGAGTGAGTCAAAATTCTTGACTTATTTTTTCATGAATTTTGTTCTTCATTCATAGGTATTATCTATAGAAATTTGAAAGTAGAAGAAATCCTATTTGCAGCTGACGGCTATTTGAAACTAACTGATTTTCGATTGGCTAAAGTTGCACATGATCGAACCTTCACACTATGTGGAACGCCTGAAGTAACTTATGCTTCTAAGCATTATTTTTGTATCTCTATCAGACTTTCGTTTGATCTTCTCACTGTAGTATTTAGCACCTGAAATCATCACGGGGATAGGTTATAATAAAAGTGTTGACTATTGGGCATTAGGCATCTTGATATACGAACTAGCAGCGGTAAATGAAGACTTTTATAAATTTTGAATTCATTTATATCATTTTCTTTGGTCAAATAGGGTTTTTCTCCATTTCAAGATGAAGATCCAATGAAAGTCTATACCAACATTCTTCGAGGCACATTCAACACTCCACAACACTTTTCATCTGATCTTACAGATTTAATACATAAACTGCTTCAATCTCGTCCAGCGAACCGTTATGGAAATTTACAGAATGGTGTAAATGATATAAAAAATCATAAGTGGTTTTCTTCGATGGATTGGGTTAGTCTATTTAAAAAGCGTATCAAAGCACCTTATATACCAGAAGCTGATAAAGAACACTATGAAACCTACGATGAAAAGCAGTTAACGCATGCTGAAACCGAATTGTATCCGACTGAATTTGAGAATTTTTAGGAACTTCTATTTATTGTAGCTTTTCATTGCTGATATTGGCTTTTTTTGTTATTATCAAAGAAATCTTATGATTGTTTCAAAAGAGAAAACAACTAATATTGACCAAACACTCCATTACTGTTGATATTGTTTTGTACGAAAGCTTTGACATTGATAAATCTTCAAATCAACATATGGACTAAGTTGAAGAGATGGTATTTTCATTAAAGTTTCAAGTAGCGAGAATTCCAAATTTATAAATTATTCTCTCTTAAATAACATATCTGCTTTCATCCATCTTATTAATATAAATGCTTTACTATACATCAACTTGCCGACAAGAAAGTCTCAATTATTTCGAAATGACATTAAGAAAATAAGCTCAAAACTAGGCAAAATTAGGTGACGGTTTTAGTTTTCGTCTCTCCTGAATAGACTATTTAGTGCGGTAAACTGAGAATTGTAGAAAGCAGCATCAAACAAGAATATTAGTTCTTAATGAATATTTCACTACTTAATCATGCGCCAGTTTTACAAAGCGATGATTTTAAAGCAGTATTGTGTGATGGAACAGTGCTAATGCTAATTAAAGATTGTTTCCTAAAACGAGAAGCGAGAGCATTCGCTTACGATTAGAAAGTTTCACTCGATTGAGAGTGTGGGCACAATTGTGGATGCTCTCTTCACCCACAAACTAACACCCGTCCTCAAGGAATTAATATCATATAAAATATTAGTTATCTACTTTGACAATAACCTGTATTTAATCTATATCTTTGTTTAAACATTAGTAAAATCAAAACAATCAATTTTTTTGTATAAATGTTTTAAATTATCGATGTTGATCATCATAAAAATGATGAAACGAACGAGATATTCTATTTCAACAATGTGGTCTTCTCCATCCTGCTGATAATTGATCATAACGTGTCAAAAGTATGTAAATAATCAATGATGATATTTATAATAATGATGTTTGACATTTTACGAAAAAGACAAATGAATAAATATAAGTATAATAAAAAGAAAAAAAAAGACAGATAAACATGTATATGTCGTATCGAAGTTACCCTGTTTATCGAAGTTGCAACTTCGATAAAAATTTTATCGAAGTTACAACTTCGATGGACAATTTTATCGAAGTTGTAACTTCGATAAACATATCTCATCGAAGTTATAACTTCGATAAGGAAGATTATCGAAGTTATAACTTCGATAAGGCGAGGTTATCGAAGTTGTTTGGATGAAGTTTAGTACTAAAATTATTGATCATTTAATGACATTATTAAACCTGATAGTGACACTTAATATTCTACTAAACAACAAACATTTATTTGATCAAATAATTAACAATTTAAAAAGTATGAAGAAAAATTGAGACAGTACATTTTTTGTCTTTTTATTTTTTATCCTCAGTACAGTAAACTGAACGCTAAGTATTAGAAACGATCAGTACAAGCATTCATGTGCCATAATTAGAAATTGAAGTATACAGTGATAGTCGTCTAAAGCACATGATTGCTGTAAACCAAGTACTAATCATGTATAGATCTAGTCTATAAGCTAATTATAAAATTATTGGAACTTTTGCAATTGGACCTATGTGATAATTGGATTATAATAAATGGATCAATTTCGATAGTATAAATAAATGACTACACACAAAACGTGTATCACACTTACTCATAATCTCAGTATATGATTTTTTTCTACTCATAACTAACACTAAAAACTTGAACAACATAGTAGCTTCATCTACACCATCGTCTGAATGTCTGTTGCGTAGTAGAAAAATTAAGTGTCACTATCAGGTTTAATAATGTCATTAAATGATCAATAATTTTAGTACTAAACTTCATCCAAACAACTTCGATAGCCTCGCCTTATCGAAGTTGTAACTTCGATAATCTTCCTTATCGAAGTTATAACTTCGATGAGATATGTTTATCGAAGTTACAACTTCGATAAAATTATCCATCGAAATTGTAACTTCGATAAAATTTTTATTGAAGTTGCAACTTCGATAAACAGGGTAACTTCGATACGACATATATACGGTAGAATCGCACGATGTTAATTTTATTCTTACAACTACCATGCACACTTCATTTAATATTACATTGACTCTATTATGTCTAATTACAAATTTTGTTTTTATTTAAGTTTGAAATACAATAAAAAAAATTTCTTGCACTTTAAACTCTAGCCACATTGATAATACTTGTTTAAGTAGTGCTTGATTGAATAAAGTAATTAGATTACATGATTGGATAGTAATTCTATTGAACACTGATGTAATATTATTTATTAATCAATATCATGATGACTTTGTGGAACTACTCGTTTATTATAGTTCATTTTCCTTCTGAAAAAAATTTGTCAGTACAGTTTCTTTGAAGCTAAAATGTAGAACTCATATGTCTTCTTTCCAGGCTCATTACATTAATATAAAATACGTCAAACGAAAAATCTCTAATAGATGATAGCTTCTTTCCAAGAATAATTGACCATGAAACGAACGATCTGTTCTATTTATTTCTACAGCACAAACACAAATTTTTTATTTGTTTGATTGCTATGCACTCTTTCTTTTTGTTTCATTTTAAAATTATTCTTATTTTTTATTATTGGTCATACAATGACTGTAGCAAAACAAAACATCACTAGCCATTATCTTTGATATCTATCATACAATTGGCTTGCTGCACAAAAATTAGAAATTGTGGTATTTAGATTACTCAAAAATGTATTCCCGCCATTAAAATTTCAAGGAAGGCTTTGCAATATTCTTTTCGTTGCTAAGAAACTATAGAAAAAGAGTTTGTTGTCCTGAATTGCAATAGAAACATACTCATTGACCTTTGACCTCAGTTGCTAAAGTCTATTGTGAGCATCTTTGTCAATGTTGCTATGATATTCAGTGATGTTGAAATCATTGAACTATACTCTAATTGAGAGGGGAGAGATAGCAACCTCGCCTTATAAGTTACAAAAAGAACATTCAAAAAATTCAATTCTACTCAGAATCATGTAACAAACAACTATTACTAATAAATTTTCTTCTTTCATGTTAAAAAACTGACTGTTATAGCAATAAGAAACTTTATTAATTGATTATCGTTTGTAATAGGCTTATAGTTGAATATATAATTGATTATCAATAATTGAACGTTGTTTACATCTATATAAAGTTTCAATCATTATCTGAACAAAAATGACAAAACTAGATAGCTGAATGAAACAAATGACAACTCTAACATTGAAAGAAATATCTGACAAATCTCATAAATCGATTCTTATCTTTACAATTGCTTTGTTGAAATTTTCTTGAATTCATATATTCATAATTCTACAATCTTAAATGAATTTTATATATTATAATTTTGACAAAATTCATTTCGTACATATCGAAGAAAATATTTTTCTTTAATATGATTGAAATAAAAGAAAAAACAGAATTTATCGATAATTATCAAGTGAGAATTGTTGATTTGAACTTATCTATAAAATATCATTTAAATCTAATCTATATATTTTTTTTCTTTATTTTAAAATATTTTAACAAACATATCAAGTTAATCGACTAAGATGTATTTCTCGAAGTTTTCGTTTTTCTAATGTCTTGATTTTTCGTGCTTCTTTATATAAAACTTCTTGATCAATCCATGGATCAATATGTAGAAATTCCAATTTTTCTTGTGTTCTATCACGTATACGCATCATTCGATGACCTGTTGCTTGTGATTCACAACTAACAAGTAATTGTCGTCCACTTTTGGCTGCATTTAAAATCCATGATAAACGCATTATTTATTTTTATCTAAAATCAAAACAATTTAAGAAGGAAGTATACATAATATATTTATTGTGTAGATTTTATAATATTTTATTTTTTTACTTTTCATTAAACTAAAAATTATTTACATAAATCGGACTTATTTTGACTTTCATCATCTTCATATTCACTATTGCATGGATTAAGATTTGATTCTTGGTCTTGTTGTTTTCTTTTATTATTCATGCGGATACATTTACCCGCAATAGCATCACGGCGAAGTTGTAATAAGGCATTACGAATTTTTGGCCACATTAAATAAAGTTCTTGTTCAGTTAAATTCCATGCTGTACAAATACAATCTAATGAATACAAATAAAAAAATAAACCAATTTAGTTGATCTTTTAAGAAAGAAAAATTGTTTGCGCAATCTCTATGCGATGAACATGTGAAATACAATGTAGGTACTGTCGTTAAATACAGGGAGATTGCTTTATTTTATCTATTTTAGGCAAACGGGAAACGATGCACTCTCGTAGATTTCTTCATCATCCTTTTACTTAATCCTCGAGAAATGCAATCAGGAAGTAGTTCATATATTAGAACGAGACGTTATTGATATACGGTCTTTGATTGTATATCAACAACGTCTGTGGTGATTAATGCTCAGTGTGACCAACTTTTTCTGATCATGGTCACGGTGAAACCGACCCGTGAATCGCGGCCCTTCTTTCTGGTTTCTCAACATAAGAAAACTTTCTAGAAAGAGCTATTGCAAAGTTTCCGTTTTTTACTAAAAGTGATGACTGGGAGAGCGGGGTAGCCTGGTGAAGATCCCTCTATCCCTCCTCAGTGCTGAATCCCTGGATGTCTTCGGCTATTTTAGTAATCGTAATTGCCCGTGACTGTGACTACCTGTGAATCACGGCAGTCATGCCGGACACTAGTGATAATCTCTAGCTAGCCTTTACTACGATCAGTGAAGAATTCAAATTTTCACCCCTATATCTCAACATTCCTTTTAGATTATACTTCGAAAAATAATTGTTCTTACGTCGAAGAAAAATATCGCGTTCATTATTATGATCAACATGTAATTTTGCCATAATTTCTTCTCGAGAAAAAAGATCACTTGCAACATGACGTGCAAAACTAGTTAATGTTGTTCGTGGTCGAAGATGTTTCATCATATTTCGTCCTTCATACATCTATTCAAATAAATTTTGTTTTATATTATATTTGAAAATAAAATTCTTTTTTCTTTTTTTTACAATAGTTTTTGTAGGAATTGGATGTATTGAGTAAATTAGATTTGTTGATGTACTAGCAGGAAAATCTAAACGATGATTAACATCTGACGTTTCATCTTCATGATCTTCTTCGATTTCAAGTTCTGAAGGTTCATTCTTAAAAATAATTGATTATATATTATTTATTTTATTATTATAAAGAATATATATATTTTTTTTT